TGTGACAGGGTGTGGGCTGAACAAAAATGAAAAGGAAGATACATAGCAACAGAAAAATCACATTAGGAAATGCTTTCCCCAATAGAGAAAATATGAAATTTGGTTAAGGTTTAATTAGATAAATATTAATACTTTGACTTTTAAATCATACTAATGTGACATCTATATTTTTGACAGTATAAATCTTCAGTGGATCAAATTACTTGTGGTAATCATGGAATCTCCCTGGCACCTTTTAGTTGAAAAACTGTACAACAAATAGCATATAGCTGTTTTTCTTGGACACTTATTCTTTGGGTATTATAACACTTGGTAGGAAAGATTGTTCCTCTACTTATATTATTGGTTCTGTAGTGAGATTAAAATATAAAAATTGTAGAAAAAGTAGCTAGGTGTGGTGATATACACCTGCAGTCCCAACTACTCGGGAGTTTGAGGTTGCCTGAGCCCAGGAGTTTGAGAACCACCTGGGCAGCATAACAAGGCTGCATCTGATTTATTTATTTCTTTATTCCTGTCTCTTATGGACTTCTCAACTTGGCCTTGCTCTTGTGGTCACTGTTCTTGTCCTGATCAACTGACACTATTTGTACCACAAGGCCCAAATAACTTTTTGTTTTGGGTCCTAAATCCTGAGATGAGGCAGAATCTTAGTTTGGGTTTCAGTTGCATGCCTCTGGGACTCATATAAAAACTGTTATCATGCACATAGATGAGTGCTCCTGGGCACTGTGTGGGGGCACAGAAAGTTCCTAACTAGCATCTTCTTCTTGTAACCCAGGCAAAACTTCTGTATCTCCCTCTTGTCTTAGCCACTGTCTCCTTGAGCTTCTAGGATTCTAGAAGCTTCTTCACAGTTTCACTTTTTATCACTCAACACTCTGGTTGGCTGAGACCTCCAAACTTCCCTTCCAGCTCAGGGACGCCCGAGATGAAGAGCTTTTGGTTTTACTATCTTTCAGTGAGTGCTATGAAAGCCGCTACTCTATGACATTTCATTTACTCCATCTCCTAAAAAGTTGTACATACCCTGAAACATTAGTGATTTGGAGGGAGAATTTTTTGTTTGTTTGTTTTGCAGTGGAGAGACATTTCCGTGGTTTAATTTCTGCTTGTGAATGCCCTCTCTTCCCCAATCTTAAGTATGCCTTAAGTTTGCAGAAGGATGCACTGAGTCCAGGTTAAAAGAAGCTTTAATCAAGAAGTTTATCTGGTTGTTTTCAAGATGTTGTACAGATTTTTTCTCAAAGAGATGAAATAGAGCTTAGTGATCATCTAGGGAAGCAGCTTTCTTTTATAGTTAATGAGCCAAGGTAGAGCTGTTAGCGCTCCGTGTAAGTTTAATAGGAAAAAGTGGGGGAAATAACAGGTGTCCACAATGCGGCAGACACTGAGTAGTTCTTCACAGATGTCAGCACCTTTCATCCTCACAAAGAACTCATGAGGAAGGAATTATTATTCCCATTTTACAGATGAAGGAAACTGAGGCTCCAAGATATTCCATAACTTGGTCTAAGTCTCATAATTAATAAATGCATGGGCTAAGACTCAAATCTACAGCTGATTTGTTTTCTTCTGTACTTCAATTCTTTTTTGTTAGAATCTGAACCTCATGAACCCTCATCTAGTGTTCTTTTCACTGCATCAGAAGAGTTCAGTTGGCTTTCTCATTGCTTTCATTTTGTAGCTAATACTATTGGGGTTTTAAGGATTAAGAGTGTTTACATGTAAAGAATTTTGAGATGCATCTGGAATTAATGAGATCTGATATTACTTACACATGGGAAGCAGGAATAGAAACGGGAAACGAACAAAACCTCCACCTCAAGGGCTCAGCATTGTCATGATAAGTAGTTAACAACTGAGACATTTAGCTGCCTCCTTGGGCCTCTCAACTTGGATGTCTCTGATGGGCATCCCTAACCTTACATGGTCACACTAGGACTCTGGGTTGCACTTGCTCACCCCCACCTTTCATTGTCCCAGTAAATGGTCCTACCATCTATCCAGATATACAGCTTAAAAACTTAGGAGTCTCCTTTCTTTATCCTACCTTTGCAAAAGACTCATCAGCATTCTAATAAGTCTACCTAATAATCTATCCTAATTTTACCTGCAAAATATACTTTATGACCAAATCTGCTTCCTTCTCTTTCTCTTCTGCCATCTCTGTACTCTAAGCCACTAGGATGCCTGCTTGAATTACCATGAGACCTTCCACACTGCTTCTGGAGGGCTTCCATCCTTACCTGTGTACCCTTGAGCCTAAGACCCTCAGAGACCCCGCACTGCCCTTAGAATACCATCCAAACTCCTTCCTTTGGATACAGGCCTTCAGAGATGTGGCTCTGCTGACCTCTCCTTCCTCCTCTCCTCTCACTCCCTCTCTTTCTTACTATGCTCTAGCTGCACTGGCTGCTTTCTGCTCCTTCAAACCCGTAAGCCAGTTACTGCATCAGGGCCTTGGGACTTGCTGTTCCCACTGCCAGGAACATGCCACTTTCTACTGAAATTCCTATGGCTGGCTGCTTCTTATTTGGCATCAATGTAAATGCCCTAATCAGCCTTCCTCACCCTCCCTGAGTCACCCAGTAGCGCATTTCTCTGATTTGTTTTCTTCTTTAGCATTTGCCACTGTATGAGATTATCTTGTTGGTCTATTTATTTGCTTGTTATCTCTCTTTTTACACGAATATGAGCTTCATAAAAGCAGATACTTTTCCTAAGACAGTGCATAGCACATAATATTTAAATATTAAACATGAGATAAAGATTTCTGGAATGAGTAAGCAAATGCAGAGGCCTTTGGAAACATGTGCAACATAAAACGAAGAAGGGAGAACAATTATGACTAACCAGTAGACTTCCTCATTATCTTAGTTATTGGGGCAAGGGCAAGAAATTGCCCAAATATAGGTCATTTGGGGAACTAACAATACTGACAAATTAGGGCTTTAGAGAAGACGAAGGTAAAGTTAATTTGAGGACTCTCCATAGGCGTGGCCCTTTCTCTAATATCCTGGTTAATAATAATCCTGTATCTTTACATCCTAACAGTGCATCAGGGAGGACTATGTCATGGCGGTGGTAGTGATCATAACAAATAATACCATCAAATACTTATATGTTGCTGACTGTGCCCCAGGCAGTATCCTAAGCGCTTTATACAGATTAGCTGACTTACTCCTCACAGTCACCTTGTGAGTTTGTGCTATTATGATCCCTGTTTGCTGATGAGAAAGCAAATGCACAGAGAGGTTAGGCGCGTTGCCAAATGTCACACAGTAAGTGGTGAAGCTAGAATTTTGAGACACAGTCTGGCTCTGCAGTCTGTCTTTTGCTATGCTCTGTAGCCTCGGCACACTTTTGCCATTAGGCATGCGGGCTTGGAGATCACACTTCCAGAAAACTTGCTGCTTGAAGAGTTGCTGCTTCCTAAGTTGCTGCTCGAGGCTGGCTCTTGGATCTGGAGCCTGGAATTCATGCTGTGTCCTACCTATGAAATCGTTTTTTGGGATAGGCCTCCTTTTATCTGTGCTTCTGTTGCAGGGGCTATACATTTCTCATTTAGAGCTATTTACATGCTATCCACGGGAAGATTGGTCATGGCTTCCCCTGGGAGAGATACAAATGTGACTAAGCTGTAGAAACCATCTTTTAATAACTTAATGCCAATGAGCGTTAACTGCAAGTCTTTAATGCACAACTCCCAGATCAACATTTTTTAAAATTACAGTTCCCTCCACTATTTCTTACCATGCTTATTTTCCTCCCATGGCTTCCAGCTAAGTGGTGTCACGTACCTGTCCTGATACTGAATGTTTTTTCTCCAACTTGACCTGTAGATGATTTCTGGGTTGGGGGTGAGGATGTGGCAGAAACCCTTTGAAAAGGAGTACAAAAGTTTATGTTTATGTGACTACGTACATTTTTCAGAAAAGAGGTAATTCTCCCAATACTCCACAACACAAAAAAGATTCTGAATCACTGGGCCTGGGCGTACAAACACTATGTCCTATGTGTGTGTCTGTGTATGTGCGTGTTTCCTAGTAAAATCACAGTTTCATATCTTCATAGTTCTATTTCTTCTGGATAGTACTTTTCTAAGAATATGGCAGTAATTTCTAATTTAAGAAGACATCAAGAAACAAAAGTCACAGTAAAAATCTAATGAGCCAAATAGTTTATAAGAAAAGCAGGAAAAGGATAAAGAATGAGCTCTTCAACATATTGCATATTCTGGTTCAAACAGAATACATGCACAGATACATACAGCACAACACACACTAACTTTAATATCCTAAGGAGAAGTTAATTTGCTGGGTTACATACATGCATGTTAAATGGAGACATTTATTAGAATAAGTCAGACCAAAAGAACACTTTCGCACAGAATATCTGTATGATGGAAACGGGGATTTCTGAAAAGTTGCTTCAGTTTTCCAGGTGGCTTTACAAGGGTAGGATGGGTGTAGGGTAACGAGGAGAGAGACTCCCCTTTCAGCAATATTCTGGGCATGAAAGGCAGTTGTGGATCCAGCCAAAGAGGCTACAAACTTCCTGATGATTTATTCACCGCTTTTCTACATTTTGTGATAGTAATAAGGAAGCTGTTACTCTAGCCTGCTAAATGTTTGAACTTGATGCATTTTGTAATCGGCAGAATAATGGTCCCCAAAGATGTCTACGTCGAACTCTTGGAAGCTGTGAATATGTTGTGTTATATGGCAAGGAAAAATTAAAGTTGCAGATGGGAATTAAAGATGCCAAACAGCTGACCTGGAAATAAAGCGCATGCCCTGGATTAACCAGGTGGACCCAATGTAATCCCAGGTTTCCTTAAAAGGGAATGAGGGAGGAAGGTGCGTGGGGTCAAAGCGATTCAGTAAGAGCGGGATTCGACCTGTGCTGGCTGCCTCTGAAGCTACAGGAAAAGGACCGGGGGCCGAGGAGTGCAAGTGGCTTCTGGAAGCTGGTAAGGGCCAGTGACATTTTTTTCTCCTAGTGCCTGCTGAAAGAACGCAGCTCTGCTGACACCTTGGTTTTGACCTGGTGAGACCCATTTTGGACTTTTCACGTCTAAAACCGTAAGTCATAAATTTCTTTCGGTTTAAAACAACAGCAGTGGCGTTGTTTCAGTTTGTGGGCATTGCTACAGCAGCAGGAGGAGGCGGGCACACATTGCTGGAACCTCTCCTGCTCCGGCGCTTGGGCGGTGCTGTAGGTGCTCATGCTCATGGAGGTAGTCAGCAAAGCGAGGCTCTCTCGGCTGGGCTGGCCGTGTCTGCCTACACCCAGCGCTCCCCTCTTCCCACTGCGGTCATAGCCTTAGTTCCTGTGCGTTTGGAGTGGCATTCTCTACAAAAATTCTCTGTCGAAGGGACAAACTCGATGAGTTATAATCTGTTCAGACTGATGTGTTAACGTCTAAGCTTTCCTGTGAGCAGGATAATTGTTCTATGATTTAAGAAGTGGCGTTGCATTCAGTGTATTTCTTTATGTGCCATTAAAATGCAGTTCACAGCTGTAGACAGGTGGGGTGAAATTAGCACCAGACTTGGAGACGGAAACCCTGATTTCTTTCCTCGTCCTGTCCACATACAAGCTATGGGTGTAATCAACTTTTATTTTCCCATAAACATTTTAGAATCACTTTGTCATGCTCCTCAAAAATTTTAACACTTGGATTAAAACTGTTAAAACTGCAGATAAATCTGGTGGAAAATGAACACCTTAATTGTACAGTTTACAATGCTAAGTTACCCCAGTAATTTGAACATGTTATATCTTTTTTTATCTACTTAGGTCTTGTCTGTCCTACAATAGTTAGTTTTGTTTTTTTTTTTTATAAGGTTTCTGGTAATTCTTATGCTTATTTATCATGCAGCATCCAGTATTGCAGTCTGTATCAATCTGATTTTTCTTTTTCTCCTTAATATAGTCGTTATTCCTGAATTGTTGGGTAAAAGTTGGTCTGCTTGTTGTCTTTATCTTATAGAGATTGTGCTTCTCATATGCCTAGAAATTTTTTCCTGTGACTTTATATCCACCCCTCCCCCACCCCCGGGCATATAAGATGCCGTGATTGATGTCGTACATCAGGAGAAGGGGTTACAGCCTGCACACCTCCTGGTAATTTTGCTTAGGAAGAAAGGGAGGGTGGACCTTAGGGCAGATGGCCTCCAGCACTGAAATGTGGGCTCCAGGATCCTCCATCTGCCCACATCTTGCTGGACACCTCCATATGCATCTGCCTGGTCCACTGCTCTGGCTCCCAACCCCCTAACCCTTGGGCTGGCAGGAGAAAGAGCTCAGAAGCCAGCTGCTTGCTCTCTTCCCTTGCTGTGTGCTCTCAGTGGTTGTTGGCAGCACACTGGAATCACCTGGCAGCCTTAAACACTGATGGTGGGTTGAATCCACAGAGATTCTGATTTTATGCAGTGCAGGTGAGACCAAGGGCATCAGGCTGTTTAAAGCTCCCCAGATGATTCTAATGTGCTGCTAAGGTTGAGATCCCCAGTGCCAGCCCTATCCTGAAGCCACCTCACTTGCTGGAGAAGACATTGGGCTGACGTTGCTTTTTCTCTGCATTGTCATGGTCACTGGGTGGGCCGGCTCCTGTCCAGGGTTGCGTGGATACTCTTCCAGGGCAGCATCTGCGGTGCCTGTAGCTCTCAGCTCGCCTCTATCTAAAACATTTTAGTTTTACAGTTGTACTTTTCATGTGCCTAGAAATTTATGGGCTACATTTCTCTTCCATACATGGACTTTGTGAGCGTCTATTTTTCTGGAGGATTTTTACAGTTTTTATGCTAGTTTTGACTCACCAATGTTTTCCTTGTGTTAGGTTTAAAGGAGAAAGTCTACAGTTCCAGTTAGCCTACTTTTGTAACAGGACCTGACGGCTCGACTCTTTGAATCCTGAAAGACTATAGGAAAAGCTAGCCCAAGTGACTGAGCTGGGGGTCCCAGTCATCGGTAGCATGGGTATTTTGCTTTGGAATGTTAAATAGTGGGGTGGGGGTGGGGGGCGCCCAGCACAGTTAATTTAAAGTGTCAAGTCTAGATTTGATTCCTAGCTAACAAAACAAGTTTCTTTTCTCAGAGTTGTGAGGATTCAGTGAGATAAAATGGAAAAGTGCCTAGCAGTGATGGGCTTTCAGGAGATGCTCATAGACATTAGCTGAATTTGAACATGTTCAGCTTGAACAGAACAGAAACATTAACTGGAGTCGACGGGAGGATCAGCAATGTTTCTAATAGGTGGCATCACAAAGAGCACAAGCTTAGGTGTTCCTCAGCTGCCACACCTTTGTGCTTGCTCCTCTGTTAGGATTATCTATTAGACTTTGCTGTTTTATTAGATTTTTATGTTACAAGAGGGGCACATAATAGAGCTCGTGCAATTTAGTTCATTTCAGACTTGGACCAGCTTTCAGTGAAAGCTGCTGGAACTAATTTTTATAGCCAGAACTTCAAATAGTGACTTTGAGCCTATATCAGAACAAAATATCATTATCCCCATCTCTGGCTCTGACATCAGTTCTTTTGAGGCTGAAATTTGCCCTGGAGTTGTACGATCTTACACGGTCAATAGCAGAAGTCAGCAGGGACTCCTAGGGAGAGAGATGTGATAACATAATTAACATTTTGATAGCATTCCAGACAGCAACAGAATAATGCCTTTGGCCAGGAAATCACAGATCCCTCCCCACCCTGTTATGGTGGAACTATGTCCCCTCAGATGATCCCCAGTAGCTGTGAATGTGATCTTGTTTGGGAATAGATGCCTTTGTAGATGAGCAAGTTAAAGTAAGGTCATTAGGTGGGCCCTAATCCACTGTGACTGACCTTATAAAAAGAAAAATTCGGACACAGACCTGTGCACACTGGGATGACACTAAGTGAAGACGAAGGCAGGGACTGGGAGATGGCACTGCAAGTCAGGGAGCACCACAGATGACTAATGTCATCTTTTTTTGGTGGGGAGGAGTACGGAATTTATTTTATTGTTTGGCTTGTGGGTTTGGCTCCTTGGATGTCACAGGGGTGGGTGTGTCCCACCTCCCTAAGTCATGGTCCCACGGGCCTGTTGGGATTGTTTTCCAGGTTCAAAGTGCACTGAGAAAGCTTCACAGTTTTAATACTTCCTAGATGCTCAACTGAGGCAAAGTGACAGAATGGCCCTCCCGCCCCTGCCGCCACAAAAATAAAGCCCCAAGCCTCTGGCAGCTGCAGCTGCTGCTGCAGCCATAGGAAAAAAGGAAAAGCCATAGAACTGCCTCTCCCTCACAGCCCTCAGAAGGATCCAATCCTGCTAGCACCTTGATTCCCAGAATTCTGACCTCCAGAACTGTGACAAAGTAAATCTGTTGGTTTAAGCGAATGAGTTTGTGGTACTTCATTACGGTAGCCCTCAGAAACCAGTACACCCCCTTTTGTCTCACTCTGCCTTCCAGGAGAAGTGATACTATAGATTGGTTAAACTCAAGGGAACTCCTTGTTTTTCTATGGAAACATGTGAAGAGGCTGATATGCAACCACTGTGACCTTCAGAGGGGCAGTCTCACAGGATGTGGTCAAATATATTTTCTGGTGGGTGGAGCTTTGTGTGAGATATAAATCAATCTCATTGGGTAGCTGTCTCAATTTCTGCATTCCCAGTTCAGTGTGGGTGGATGGGGAAGGTGGTCTCAAGTGGGAGGTATACAGGCTGCTTTTTTCATTGGATTTCCCTTAGGCTTTTGGGACATTCTCCATTCTGTGTGGCCAGGGAACATGTAAACTGGAGACGGAACCCAAAAGCTTTCCCTCCCTAAAAATGCCTGAGGTGGGGTGGCCAGTAGGCAGGTGAAAACTTTGCTACAAAAAATTTAAGACAGAGAAAAGGAAATATTGCTCCCCCCAAAATTCAATCTCATAATTAATAAATATTTAATTTAGGCTGGGCATGGTGGCTCACACCTGTAATCCCAGCATTTTGGGAGGCTGAGGTGGGCAGATCATGAGGATAAGACGTCGAGACCAGCCTGGCCAACATGGTGAAACCCCGTCTCTACTAAAAATACAAAAACTAGCCGGGTGTGGTGGCACGTGCCTGTAGTCCCAGCTACTTGGGAGGCTGAGGCAGGAGAATTGTTGAACCTTGGGGTGTTGGGGAGCAGAGGCTGCTGTGAGCTGAGATTGTGCCACTGCATTCCAGCCTGGCAACAGAGCAAGACTCCTCGAGAACAAAAAAAAATGTAAATATCTAAAACATAACATGTCCACTAGCCAGATCAGCTGATAGTAGAGTATATACAGTTACATTTAATGTGGCATACTATGCATAATATGTGACATGGGTGGGGTCTCCGAAAGCAAGGGCGCCAAAAGTCTGAAACAGCTTTGGGCACTGGTGCAAATGGTATTTCCTCTGGCTATCATGGTCTGCTCCTTATGCCTTCTTCCCGACTGGTATGTTCTTTGACATTTCAAAATAATATCAGAGGCCCAGTGTGGGTTTGGGACAGAACACGTAGAACAAAGCAATCCCTTGCCTTGCTTCATCTCTGGCTATATGTTTATCTTAGAAAAGCGTGCTCTAGACAGCGAGTGGAGAATATTCAAGTATGTCTTTGTCCCTGACAGTATGCTCTCATCTCTTTTGTAAGAGTATACAATTTAAATTTCTAAAAATTCATTACAATAAAAAGCAAAACAATCCCTCATAGGTTTATAATTAAACTAATGCACCATTTACAAAGGGTTTGAAATAAATGCAAATACCTAGGTACAATGTTTTATCTTTTTAATGACACTTCAATAAACCCAATTACTTAAGTTTTATTTTCCGAACCAAGCAAGTGTGAAGCGTTTCTTCATACACTGCAAGTTTATGAAATTCAAGAGGTAGAAAATGCAGCAGGGTTTTGAAGAAGACCCTTTTCAATGAATGTCAAGCTTGGCGACCCTACACTTGGGATGTGGGTCTTCTAAATGGATATGAGTCTTGTACCTTAAAGTTTGTGGAAGTGAAGGTCACGAAATCCTTCCCCAGTAGGCTTTAACTCTTTTAGTTAAAAAAAAAAAATACTAGGCTGAATGGGCCATTCGTATCATCTAGTAGGATGACTCTTATGTATGTACTTCCATCCTGGGATGAAGGTCCTTCATGAAGGATTTGCAGATTAGGTTAAGAGGGTTATCTAATTATACAACAAACCTATTCATCTGGCAAATACTTAGTGAATATCTGCTAAGTGCCGGCACAATGCTAAACTTGTTGAAAACAACCACATGATAGCAGGGGCATGATAACAGTTCCTGTAATCATGGAGCTCAGTTGAGCAGGAAGCATTTATAATTCCATGTGAGGATGAAAGGTACTGAAAGGAGTACTAGCATCTTCATCCATTCAGGCTGCTAGAATGAACTGCCACAGTCTGGGTGGCTTGTAAATAACAAATTCATTGCCCACGTTCTCCAGGCTGGGAAATGTAAGATGAAGGCACCAGCAGATTCGGTGTCTAGTGAGGGCAGTTTGCCCATTTCATAATTGGCACCTGCTCACTGCATCCTCATAGGGTGGAAGGGCCAAGGCAGCTCTGTAAGGCCCCTTGGATAACAGCTGTACTCTCATTCCTGCGAGCTCTCCTTTCATGATTTAACCACCTCTCAAAGGACTCACCTCCAAACACATAATCACACTGGTGATTACATTTATACCGGTGAATTTTGGGGAGACATATTCAGACCATAGTAAGTAGGGAGGGGCATTTCACTTGAATTTGAGAGCTAATCAAAAAACCTTTCTGTAGAAAGTGATAGCCCAATCCTCAAAACCACGAAGGGCTTATCCAGACAAATTAGATGAATACCCCTGAGGCAAGAAAGCACAGCACATTTAAGAAACGAAAGTAATTTGATATGAGGTAAGGATCCTCAGGGGAGAGAAGCATGGAGACGTGTAGGCAGAAGCCACATCTCAAAGGGCCTTGCAAGCCATTTGGAGAAGATTTACCTCTATCCTGAGGGCAATGGGAAGCTACTAAATGACTTTGAGCAGAGAATGGAAATGTTTCAGATGACGACTTGGCTGTTTGGTGGATGGATTAGGGGGAAACTAGTCCAGTAAGGAGGCTGCTGCAGTAAGCAAGATGAGAAATGACAAATAGTGCCACTGGGAACAAAGGTGGGGGACTCCTATGACAGTGGCAGGCAGCATCAGCATGGCATAGTGATTGTTTTGGGGGAGGTGCAAGGAAGAAAATGAAGGCTAAAGAATTGATCTTTGTAAGAGTGGTACCTCTCAGTGGAGCTTTAGAACTCAGACAGCAAAGCAAAGTTTTGAGGGGAAGGTGATGATTCAGTTTTAGACATACTGACTGGATATACATAAAGTATATCCAAGCAGAGCTGCTTGGGAAAGAGGTACCTGAGTCTGATGGCCCTTCACTCAGACAGCTCTCAGGACAGGTGACTCCAGGAAGGAAAGAGTACTGAGCTGCCTTGGAGGATGAAGAGTAGTGGGAGGAGGTGTGGCAGGAAGTACTTGGAAGTTGGGGAACGGTGGTGAGACCAAAGCGCCACAAGGAATTGCAGGTAATACTGAGGGTGTGAAAGGGAGGCAGGGGATAATTCTTGATGGGTTTTGCCTGTCATGTTTTATGCCTAAGGAATGAGATAGAGCAAATACAATATTTTAGACAGGCGAGAGACCGGATCATATTGGTTTTAGAAATTAGTCTGGCACTGGCATGAATGTGAACTGGAAATGAAAATAAATCAGACCGGTTAAAATAATCTAGTAGTATGCATGTCAAAAGATCAAGTCCTAAACTGAGACTGGGCAGAGAGGATGAGGAAGCAGGAATGAATTTAAGAGATACTAAGGTGGCAGAAATGATAGTGGTAGCCATGGACTAAATATGGGAGGCAAGAAAGATGGCAAGGATGATATTCAGGGTTCCGGCTTGGCTGATGGTGGGCCATTTGGTGAGCTGGGCACTATCCATCTCAGAAGCAGAATGGCAAGGTGCAGGTCTGAGAAAAGCAGGGCAGATGTGCCATAAACCCTGATCTTACAATTGACTGAAAAATTATGAGTCACTAAGACATTCGAATTCTTGATCTCTAGAAAAAAACAGCAATTTTAATTACTTTTATCTGCAGTGAAGAAGTTGGCATCACTTTACCCTTTTTGTCATTATTAAGGCTTGGGAATTAGTTCTTTTTGCAAAACTACTTTATCTCTTTTTTGAAAGGAATGATGCTAAACATGTTAAAAATGGACAAAATACAACTCGGTGTTTGCAGGGATCTCTTTCCCAAATAATCAGATATTTAAAGTCTTCTGTTGAAGAGAACTACAATTTGTCCAAGTCCTCAAAGGCTATCATATGGCTGATTCTGCTCAGTCTTCAAGTTTCAGCAGAGATAAAAATGGTCAGAAAAGCATTCCCTGAACACCTTCTCCAAGCAGGCCCCATCGCTACCATCACGGCACTATGTCCTGTCATCCATACCACTTCATCAGCTTAAAATTATATTTTTATTTACATATTGATTCTCTCAATATAAGGTCTGAGGGTTGATATGGTTTGGATCTGTTTCCCTGCCGAAATCTCCTGTCGAATGGTAATCCCCAGTGTGGAGGTGGGGCCGGTGGGAGGTGATTGGATCACGGGGGTGGTTTCTGATGGTTCAGTACCATCCATCTAGTGCTGTTTCATGAGAGAGTTCTCAGGAGATCTGGCTGTTGACAAGTGTGTAAACTCCTCCCTCGCCTTCCTCCCACTCTGGGCCACATAATTCGTGCCTGCTTCCCCTTCTGCCGTGATTGAAAGTTTCCTGAGGCCTCCCCAGAAGCTGCTATGCTTCCTGTGCAGCCTGCACAACCGTGATCCAATTAAACCTCTTTTCTTTATAAATTACCCAGCCTCAGTCCAGTGTTTATGGCAATGCAGAATGGACTGATACAGGTGAAGATTGAGCCTCCTGCCTTTTCCTGGGTATAGCAAGTGGCAGCTTTATGCCTGGCATCGTCCCCATCCTATAAATACTAATTAAGTTCACAGCTAGAGAACAGTTGAGATTCCTGTTCTCAAGGCTCTTTTTAGCCAGTATCATTTTTATGGCCATATTGGTTGGTAAAATTCAAACTCCTTCTATACTAAAATCAATAGCCTCTGCTCAGAGCCCTGAAGTTCCCCCAGCCCTTATTTACTCTTCTATTTACACTTCTCAAGGAACTCTCAGAATTCTCAACCCACAGCTTAAGGCCTACCACCTGGCCCAGTGTGCCCCAGCTGTGGTGCTGAGGCCTGTGTGTATTCAACTTGGTTGGTGTCTGTGCTGTACAGGTTGGTAAATATTTTGAAGATCATACCTGCCTAGGCTTCTAATCTAAACCCAGAATCTAATTTCTGTTGCCACATAACACATGGAAACTTCCATAATAACCACATAGATTAACATAAGAAAAGATCTCCATTGCTAATCACGAACAAGTTAGGTTAACATTAAGCAGAACCATAGCCTCAAATAGGGTAAGCAGATGGGCAGGTCTGTGTGCACGTGTTTGTGTCAGGGTCAGAAGTTAGGTTTGTGGCAAGGGAGGATTGCAGAACAATCACCCTTATGTTCTTTTGGATTGAAGACAAAGTTTTATCTCTTCCAAGGAGAGAGAAGAGCTTTATTGAAAAAAAATCAAACTTTGTGAATGTATTCCTTAAGTGGAGAGATCCTGGGTGAGCCTCCATCCAGAAGCTGGCTTAATTGGACTCCAACTGGGCAGAATGAATTCTTAATCAGAACATATTTTATTTGCTTAAAATGAATATTACTGCATTTACCCCAGATTTATCAACAAAGCGGCCTTTAACAGCTATCAGTGGCTGACCTTGACAGATTCCATTACTGAAATAATGAAGTTTGATGGGTTACTATTAATAAGATTTGCTAATGGTTTTCCATTGCAGAGCTTGAGACCGATGAAACAGAGCTGCTTATTCAGGCAGGTTGACCACAGGGAAAGGTGAGGGAGGGAGTAATGAAAAGCAAAGGGAGCTTGATGCAAAACGAATGGCTCCCAGGCAGAATTTCCACAAATGAAATGCAAATTCAGATATATATCTCTTAATCACCACACTGAAAAGGTTGATTACTTAAAATTAGACTCACCAGATGTTTTTGTTGTAGGCAGGAATGGAAAGCTGACTAAGTGGGAAAATATAAATTTATTCTTTTAAAAGGTCCTCGTTATCTCATAATAGCGGGTAGGAAATTGAACCGCAATTACAAAATGAAAGCAGCTAGGTTCAGAGGGGAACGAGGAGGAAAGCTCAGAGGCAAGAAAAGGAGAAGAAGTAAGACAATTCTATTGTGTTAGTATTTCTGATATTTGAAAACTTGAGGTGACGTGCAAAAGAAGTGATTTACTTTTTTCTTCTAAAGATTCATTGGCTAGCAGCTTTCTTCTCACACATTTTTAGATTGTAGACATTTTACTTCCCTTATCCTCAAAGCCGTTACCAATTTTCATTACCTTCAGACGTGACACAGCAACAAGAAATACCAACCCAATTTCTTTTCTGAATGGAACCAGCTGTGGGCAAAGGCGGACAGTTGCTTCTGGGATTATCATTTAGGAGACATTGGAAAGGCCTGTTCTTAGATTGGTTCCCTCACCTTCCTGGTTTCCCATCACAGATTTGTTTCTTTGGATCTATCAAGCATTTTGAACTTACTGGCTTCTGTTTAAAATGCAAACACATCCGCAGAGGCAATAACTGAGAA